CGTCGAGTCGGCCCCGACTCATAGCGACCCCTCCTTGGGTTTCCGAGGCAGTATCACTACGGAAGTAGGATTGCCCAACCTTCCTTCCGAGGAAGTGGCTGGTGGGTTTGAACTGCTAGCCGTCTGGTTAGCAGGCAAGTGACTTAGCCACTATGCTACCAGAGCTCCCGAGGCATTATTTTTACTAACCTACTTTAATATACAAAATACTGCAAAACTGAAATAAAATGAAGAAAGGAGTTGCATTTACATGCTGTTATCAAGTGTTTCACCTTTCCGAATATCACAGAGCCTTAGGGGTAGAAAACGTCACCGAGTATATAGAATTGTATTTCATAGATGCCAAGATGCACATTTGCACTTTAATACCTCTGAAATCAATACATTACAATTGATGGCAAGTTACAACTATACTTGGCAATGTTTTCTTTATTACCAGTAAAAAAAAAAATAGAGCTAAGTCTTAAAATCAGTAGCAACTTAGATTTAATGAAATACGCTATCTAGAATACCGAGGAATTTACTATTTAGGCAGTGAGCAAATAAAGTCTTGCATTATTACTCTGATCAAGAGTACCAAGCACACATGCACGCCCACACTTGTACACAGGATGAAATGTCTGCAAACATCTGAGACAAAAATGGATGCGGGCTGATTTAATTCTTTTATTTTTTTTCAGTTGTATTTTTTTATACTACACATGTATTTTTTAATTAGATGTAATTTTTTATTTTGAAGGAAAAACAGATGGGATGTGTTGAAACATAAGGCTCTTCATATATAGGCAGTATTTCATGGAATATTTCTTTTGAATTATTGGTTATCTATCAGTCCACCTTTAATTCAGTATTTAAAATGGTCAGGATCAGTGCAGAAAATCTCCTAATATCAATATTACTGATGCTGTAAATAATTTTAATTTCTATTTTATGGTTCTCTCAAATTAAGCTGCCTGTTTTTAATATAAACAGCTCTGCTGATGTAGTACCTGAGGCATATGACTGCTAACAAGAAGGCTGGTGGTTTAAACCCACCAGCCACTCTGCAGAAGGAAGATGGGGTAATCTACTTCCATAAAGATTTACCGCCTTGGAAACCCAATGGCAGTGAGTTTGGTTGGTTTTGGTTTTGATGTGTATATTTGAGTATCTTCCATAACACGCCAAACAAACAAACAAAAAAACACACTGCCATCAAGTCAGATTTGACACATAGAGACCCCTCCTTGGGTTGCCAAGGCGGTATCACTACGGAAGTAGATTGCCCAACCTTCCTTCTGAGGAAGTTTGAACTGCCAGCCTTCTGGTTAGCAAGTCAAATGCCTTAGGCACTATGCCACCAGAGCTCCCATAGGAATTATTAAATAGGGTAGAATATTATTGCAAATAAATAGCTCATATATGGATAGTTTTCATAATTTCTATTGTTTAGCAGCAAATCTACACAGAATATTAATTTAATAAAGTAACAGATCAATTTATTATTAATTAAAATACAACACATATTAATTTTTATAGGTGAAAATTAATCTAAAAACTGTGCTTTATGTTTACAGTTTCTTGTTTTTTACCAGTTAAGGAGTTCAATTTAGCAATCCTTTAAGACCTAAAGCAAATAGTAAAAAATTACCTAAAAGTAGAAAATGGCATTAAAATGTCAAAGTGTTTCTACCACTTCAAATTATTTAGAACTATAAAGTACTTTAAAAAAGAAAATATTAAACTGCCCTTCCCCTTTTTAAACTAGCTTTTGCTTTTCAAAGAAAGAACATTCTGTGTAAATCCAGAGGAATGAAGTATGAATCATAAATAAGAAGATTGATGGTTTGTGTGTGTATGTGTGTGTGTGAGAGAGAGTGTATGTGTGTGTCTTAAGAAGACCAAAAAGGTAAATTATACCATGGACATGTAAGCGCACATTTCAAGTCTAAGCAACAATACCAAAAGGCTGGCCATTTGGTCTTTTGCTAACAGCTGTGTTGACTTGATTAAATCCTAGTCTAAACCAGCAAAAATTTATAAATACAGTTTAAAAAAATAAAAACAAATAATGTGTTAAGTAAAAATCCAAAGTGTGTTTAAGTCTTTAATTAAAGCAAGGTTTTTGTCAAGTTAAAAGAAACTTGTAAATAAAAGTAATGCCATGACATCTGGGCATAAAGAGAAAATGTCTAAGATAATACTTAAATGATTGCTCAATCACCCACATGACTAAGGAAAATGCAAGAAAAGGTCAGAGACATGGGTCACTCAAATAGATGATTAACAGAAAAAATGAACGCTGAAAGTTAAATGTAGGTAAGTGGGCTTATTCTCAATAAAAATGTAAACATAAGGCAAGTTTCTACAAAGATAATACTGATTCACACAACAACAGAGACTGGACATTAATTCTAGTATTCAAAAAAGTGAGAAAAATATAATTTTTAAGGAAAACAGTAACTCACAGGAAATATACTCCCAATAGGAAGTCATAAAAATCAAATATGCACACAATCAAAGACATTGTGGATAATGAAACCTAGTGTAATGAAACACTCATTTTGTTTCATCCCATAATGTCTCCCTTGCTTACTGTGTCAACATTCTGAGGCACCTGAGATCCTGTGACACAGAGTTACTGGTGTGTCAAAAGTGGTTTCTTCAATGTGCTAACATGCCAGCCCCATATGTGCTTTCTGGAAAACAATTACTGACCCATCTTATTTATCAGACCCAAGTTCCAATGACTTAAAACTCACCACCAAACCAATTCAGCTTTAGAAAGGCTATTTGCCACTTGTAAGTATAGTTTGAAAAAAAAAAAAAAAACCAACTTTAAAATAAGTATACAGCCTCCAAGATGGCTACTACTAGTGAATGTTAAAATGTAAAAACCTCACTATAATAAGTGAAATGAACATGTAATACAGCTTGCAGAGCTTCAAATATAGGAAAACCTATGGTTGTCATGGTTTCTTTAAAAAACATAACATTAAATATACTTACACAGTAGCTCTTCAGTCTGATAAAATCTACAGTCATAGGAATGGATCTATCACTATTTCTGTTCAGTGCTTTGATATAATCCAGCAGGTCAGCAAAGAATTTATAGCCCCCCTTGAGCACACAGAGGGCCACAATGTGATGGCCTCCCATCTCCTTCATCACATCTCGAGCAAGTCGTTCAGTCCTATAGCAATAAAAGCAGGAGTTTAATATAAAATTTCATATATTTAACTTAAACTTGGTAGCAAACATCCCTTAAGCATGCAATGTCCACAAAACACATCCTTTGCTCCCATGAATTATACCTGTGCTTCAGAAAGTGAAGATAAAAAATTGATTATCTTCAAAATCTAGATACCCTATTATAAAATTTTAAAATGCAGATTAAAACAAAATACCATTTTCACTTGTTAGATTGGGAAATTCTGATTAAATGAAATTTCCAATAATATGTATTATTAGAAGAGACACCATCGGGAGTATAAACTGGTAAAACTTTTGGGAGGACAATTTGACAGCATCAAAATATTCTATAAACATCTTCCCCTTACCCCAGAATTTCCACTCCAATAAAGTTGAACAAGTGTTCAAATGTATAAAAGGATATTCCCTCTACTATGGTCTGGAAGAATAAAATAATGGAAAGATTTGAGTGTCCATCGATAGGGGCAGGTTTAATCAACCATGGAACATTCAGAAAACGGAATGCTACGCAGTCATTAAAATAAATGAAGTATATCTAGCTGTACTAATATGGAAGTTTTTAATAAATTTTAGAACTGTATGACAGTATGTACACGTGTTAAAACAGATATGTACAGGTAGTGCCTGAGTTACACCTGTTGGACTTAGGGGCAACTCTTACTTGCCCTTTAACATGATGTAAATTTGCCCTCATTTTGAAAGGACTAAAGCAACCCTACTGGCAACAAATTCTTCATCACAATCACTTTCACTTGCTGCATGTGCAGCTTTTAAATCACTGAAAAGGCTTTGAGCATTTTCTTGCACTAACATAAGGCTAATAAGAACTGATGACCTACACATTCTTACAGACATAGTTAGGAATTCATTGGTAACCTGGGGATACATGTGATATAGGCCATGGGTAGAGACAGTAGACAGGGAGGGAATGTGAACAGGAGGCTGAGAGGAAAGAACTTTAATTTGCTCTTTTATAGCTTCCACAGGTAGGAGTATTTTACAACACACATGTATTGATATCATATTTTAAAAATAAAAAAACGAACAGCTAGACACACAAAACAATGCATTCATGATACTAAGTAAAGTTTTTCACTGTAATTCATTTCAGGGAAAATTTTCAAGCTAGATATGCATAATCATCAAAATCCCATTGTGCCATCTTGTAATTCAGCCCCAGGTCCCTGATCAGGGTTGAGAAATGAAAGACTCTGTACCTAAAGTTCATTCTTCCAATCTCCCTTCAATATTTACTTTATTCTACTTCCTACAGATTCCCAATATACATGACGTACAGTTACTGAGGCCCTCTTTGCTTCTTCGTTAAGAGGGCTTAAAAAATAAGAAAGTGTCTATTCTTTAAAAAGCTAGCCTAGTTTTTGTTCAAATATTAAGTCAAAACAGTTGCCAACACTTAGAATTCATATGAGAGGAAATAAAAAAAAACTTCAAATTAAGATCTTACTAACCTGTCCATAATTAGTCCATGAGGAATAAACACCTTTTCCAAATCCTCTGCGTAATGATTAGGTATACAAAACAGATCTAGGTCATAGCCTGGTTCATCATCACTAATCTGAAAAAAGAAATATAGCTGTTGCAATGACAGGTATTTAAATAAAAACTAACTATGAGATGATATCAACAACTTTTTATAAACCCTGTAGATATGGTAATGAACTACAATTGTGTAAGAAAACAACTGTATATTTTAGAGATGAGAAGTTAAGATGTAGAAGAGATTTCTCAGTTCAGCAAAAGAAAAATGTTAAAGAGCTAAGACAAATGTGGCAAAATCCTGATGTTTTAAATGCGGGTAGAGTATGTGAGGCTGCTTGATACTATTCTCTCCGCTTCTGAGTATGTTTACAAATTTAATTTAAAAAATTTCTCAAGACAGCATAGATTAAACAAGTTAAAATATCACACTGAACTTCCCAGAAAAACTGCCGTTCCCCATCCCTTTAAATAGTCTGTCTCATCTCACAATAAAAAAACCAAAAAACCAAACTCACTGCCATCAAGTCTAGTCAACTAATCATAGTAACCCCTCCCTTCGGTTTCTGAGGTGGTATCTCTACAGAAGTAGATTGCCCCATCTTCCTTCCCAGGAGTGGCTGGTGGGTTTGCAGTCAAATGCCTTGGGCACTATGCCACCAGAGCTCCTAAAAATAAACCAAAGTCATTTCCAACTCATGGTGACCCCTCCTTGGGTTTCTGAGTCAGTATTTCTACGGAAGCAGATTGCTCAATCTTCCCTCCAAGGAGTGGCTGCTAGGTTTGAACTGCCAGCCTTCTGGTTAGCAGTCAAATGTCTTAGGTATCATGCTACCAGAGTGCCCCTTCTCACAATGGGGGACAAAAATTCACTAAAAAAAGCTAAGTGAGCTTTCAAAAACCCAAACTCCTAGAAGTCTGAGGTTGTCCTATCAACTCATGAGGTGCCTTCATAGTAGACTGGTTGAGTAGATGAGAGAGACTATTTGAGTAGAACCACATATTGACTGTCTTACTATCTCCAGTATCTGACCCATAAAATATTTAAGAACGTGGAAAACACTGATGATGTGCTACCCATGGCGGTAAAATGTACTATAATTACAATTTTATAAATACTAAATACACACAGAAAAGTAGAATACAGCAAAATCATAAACAGCTGTTACCTTGGACAGGGGAACTATAGGGATTTTATTCAGCTCATTCTACTTTGCAATATATTCCAAATTTTCTTCAATGAGTATATACTGTTTTTTATCCAATAGTCTTTATTAGAAATTATTTTTGGCAGTGCGTGTGGTTTTGCTCATTTTTTTTAATGAGATGATCACTGATATCAAATCATCCTATTTAATTTCCATTGGAAACATTTAAATGAGTGGTACAACAGTTTGATTTCAGTAATGTCAACACATTATATGCTGAAAATTATACTCTTTGCAATATTTAAACTTATGAATATATGAACAGGAAGTATCAAGACCACCACCAAAGATAAATACAGCTGGATGGTACTCTAAGAGTATCCTATAAAGACCCCTTAATCCAGTGCCTTGTTCTACATATAAAGCAGACTGGTATAGCTGGGCTTGCTCCATTGTCCCACCCAACCTGTTGTTTCATTGTTGAGAAAGAGATATAAATAAAACTGCAGTCATCTGTATCTTTGTCCATGATTTGCAGTGTGTGTTGTCTCATATATATGTACACACATATACATACACACATACATACACATACACAAAAACAAAAGGATGGGGAAATTAAAAAAAGAAATGCACAAAAACTTGTAAGATAAAAAGAAGGTGGTGTCTCCCTGTGTGGAGCAAAGAAAATCAAGGATGCAAGGAAACAGTTAGTCCAGTGGACTAATGGACCACATCAACTCCAGCCTCCACAACCCTGAGACTAGAACTAGATGGTGCCCAGCTACCACTGCTGACTGCTCTGAAAGGGATCACAATAGGAGGTCCTGCACAGAGTGGGAGAAAAATATGGAACAAAACTCAGAATCATTTAAAAAAAAAAAAAAAACAGGCTTACTGGTCTGATGGACTGGTGGAAGCCCCAGGACTAAAAAAAGAATAGGGCATTTTAACAATATTTTGCAACACCCAAGTATGGTTTTTATAAATTCTATAAATGTATAAACGGAAATCTAGTTTGTTTTGGAAAAAGACAATTAGGCCTTGTCAGATCCTATAAGGTGAGATGGTAAGCAGTCCTATCAGGCTCATCAGAATGTATCTGCTAGCACCGGATGGGAAAACACACCATTGTGTAGCACTTTAGGATCAAGATGATCCAGAGTGCCAAAAATGGCTTCCCTGAAGCTTACTCACTCCTCCCTCCCACAGTTACAGCTCTTGCCACAGGCACAAACTAGGACCTACCCAAGACTCTTTGAATGTGCAATACTAGGTAAAGACTACTGCTTGGCAAAAACGGCTGCCTGCCTGACTGCAGGTTCTGCAGGCAGCCTAAGAACTTCAAGAGGCTTTTGTCTCAATCAAAGCCAATGTGAATTCTGCCCAGAGTTCATGCCAGACATGCAGACAGACCAGCAAGGATGTACCCCAAAACTGGACTTCCATCTCAACACACCAAGTTAACTTTCAATTCAAAGTCCAAACTATTCAATTTAAATATTACTTTTAATGTTAAGGGGTTGGCTTGTTGTTCCAGACATGAAAAAACATGTCAATACGGCTCTTTCCAAAAGGGGGA